ATGACACGTGAGGACAAGAAAGCAGTTCTTATACTAGTAGTGAAACTGTGACTGAATCTAAATTCGAATATAATTTGAAGTAAAGTAAAGCAACTATCTTCCTCGTCCCGAAAACTGACATTTTTTGTACTAATGAAACAAATAACTATTTATAGTAAACAGTAGTTGACGAAAATTATTTTTATTTTCTTAAATGACAGTCTATCTCCATTCTGTGCTCATTTTATAGAAATGCCTTTTCACACATTCATTACAGTACAAAGAATTCTTGAAAGATTCCTCAAATGATCTAGGAACAAAAAATTTTAAATACCTTGCTGCAGTTTGGCCTTTTATCTCCTAATTTAAAAATCAAAACCTGGTATGATTGATGTCGAATAAATACGCACATATATAAATATATAAAATTAATTAATTGAATATAGTAAAAAAAATAAAGTGTATACAATTCCATTTTCTTTTACATCTTCCTTGTTTTAAAAATATTAGTTTGGTTCTTAAAAAAATCTCCTATCTCATGATTACGTATCAATGCTAGATTTGTCCCTTATATACAAATTTATTTTTTATACATAATAGATTCATAGTACACCTTTTAATGCTAAACAAAATTTGAACCCAACCAAAGGAATAGTATCACTGAAATTAAATACAAATTCCCAACTAATAAAAAATATCCAATTATTATCAAAAAGTGCATTACAAATTTGATTCATGCAATTGATTTACAAAGGGCAGTTCCTTATTAGGAAGATTATGATTACGTTAAATAAAATTCATAAAGAAATTCCAAAAAATATCCGACCTTAATACAATACAAATATTTAAAATAACGTAGAGTTAAGGTGTTTAGTTCAGGTTACAATAATTAATATCATCCTCCCTTGGAAAAAACAGCTTCAACTTAGAAATATGGAGAATAGATCGCTTCATGATGATACAGCAGAACTTTTTGTACCGCCCTGATGGTAATATCGGCTTCTTGTTGAATAGAAATGTCAATATCGTGTATTAAAGTATTAATTTTAGGCGAAATTGTCTCAAGAAAAAGTTGTAGGGAATGAAAAAATTAACAACTTTGTTCGCTTAACCTCAAATTTTCCGAGTAAAAGAGAAAAACTGTTTTTTGTCGCTTTCTATTTTTATTTTTGCGAAAAAAAAAGTCGCAGGGGTCTGAAATTTGGAGGAAACATTTTTATGGCATAAAACAAGACAATTTTTCTGAGCCGTTTCCGAGATATTCACGATTTTCGTAAAAACCACCTCTTTTTCAGGGGGGTTAAAAATCTATTTTTTTTTATCGTACAGAGCTGCGTGAGGTGGCAACATTTTTGGAAAGACATAATTTCATAATCAAAAAAAATATCATCCCGATAGAAATTTTCGAGAAAATCGCCAAAAGCGGTAAAAACTTTTTGTTCAGTATATTCAGTGTGTCCCAGGTAGAACGCACCATATTTTTTCGCGAACGATTCACCAGGCTTTTGAAATTTTCATTTAAAGTAGGTGGGCGCTATGGCACTGGGCCGCAAGACAGACATTAGGACGCGAACATTGGACCGCGGACAATGGGACGCGGACATTAGGAGGAAACGGACATTGGGAGTTGGTCCCAGTTTGGGAGGCGGAAGACGCAGACGCATTGGCACGCGGATATTGGGATGCGGACATTAGAACGCAAGCATCATGTAGGTCACCTTCAGTAAAAGGTATATAATTAAATTAAAAACCAATGTTATTTTATTTATTTCATCTGTATATGCGCTATAACGTCTCGTCTTAGCCTATACAGGGTGTTTCATAATTGAATGTCAATATTTAAGGGGGCGATTTTTGGGTCCACTTTAAAAGAAAACTTCGTATGAACCTATGTCCTAAACGTCTTAATTTTTGAGATACATGGTGGTCAAGTTTTCAAAAATAAATCATTTAGTATTATTAATATTTGTAATAGCACTTTAGATATTTTAATAAAATTTGGCATGTATGTACTATGTATTCAGAGGCATTTTTTAACGTGCCACATTTTTTTTATTTTCAACCAGTGGCGTTCGTACGGAATTTCATATGCCCATTTTGGCAGACATTGATGGTATGCCACTGATTTCTCTGAAAATAAAAATTATTCTTGAAATCCCCAATTATTTCTAAGCAAATTTGATCCCTTTGGTTTTTTTCAATCCGATGTGAAAACTTTTTACTTGTTTTCTAAATTGTCCACACTTATGGAATGTTGCTCTATGTTGTTCTAGCACCACGCTGTTTGGTATCTGTATTTTCCATGGTGAGCAAATACAAATTACAAGTCACACGTCACTTGTAAAGTCACAACGCGTCTAATCGGTTAAACTCTTAGATTAGGAAAGAGTATGGATACTACGTGTGCCGTACAGCCCGTGTATGAATCGTGTTACCTTTTTAAGCAAGCCGGTCATTATGTATGTGGCACAAATGTCATTTAAGTAACATGGTTTTTTATGAGTTTTTGCGCTTAAATTAAGAGGAAATGCACAGAAAACAACTTTAAATCATAGTGAATTGTGCAGATTGTGGATGCAAAAGCCGGAGTGAGAAAGAGAAACCGGGAATTTCATTTCAGACGTAAATATTGAAAATGTGCCTAATGCCGTTACAATATATTTTCCTATTTTTCATCATAAAGCTTTTTCTTTGAATATTCTTCTTTTAATATGTTAAAATTCATAGCTTAATGAACGACTAGACTTAATTTCCTACAAGAGAACCAATCCCATGCATTCAAATTTTGATAACAAACGTCTTCAAGGACGGAATTATTCAATAAACTCCATAGGCGTAGTCAATAGCACTCCGCGTTTTTCAAAGAGAAATTTGGTACGGCAACAGCGTTTACGTGAAAAATCAAACAGAAAACAATGAAGATTCATATTTTATTACAGTCTCTGGAGGGACAGTTAGTTTGACAGGCATTCCCGAAAAAAGAAAAGAGGAAGTTTCGTTTATACCCGTGTCTGATTAATAAATAACGCAACGCACGAATTTCATTCGCATGTTCCACGTGCTTTATTATTAGTTAAAAGTAGTTTCTTTTTTAGGTACTTCTGCTATTTATCTGCAATTTACGGATGCTACGCCACTGGCCAATTTCATTATGTGGCAGTCGGCAGATCGTAACACTATCGCTTGCGAATTATGCGTCCATATTCTTTCCTTGTCTAAGGTTAAACTTAAATCAAAAATATACCCATACAATTAAAAAGTTTAAACAGTTGTCAATTTAGGTGGTAAGAGATCAGTAGGTCTAATGCGTTTAATTTTAGGCCCAGTGAGTGACAACACTCTGTTACTAGGTATAAGTTCTGACTAGTTCGTAGCAATTTGACGAAGTGCAGGTATATAAATATTAGCAATATTGCTCAAGTTAGTAGATAGAGAATGACAAATTTGTTATCATTGCTCATAATATTGCTAGAATTTTGTGTGAGCAATCTTGCAAACTTGTTAGTTACAGAATTAGGCTGAATATCATGCAGCCAAAAAGATTTTCTGTTTAAAATCGTGCGTCGAGTTGAAATAATCAAGGGATCAAATCTGCTCATCCTTCGTACTTCGAATTTTGGAACTTTTTCAATAAAACATTAAGAAAACTACTTAAGTAAAAAAGAATTATTTATGACTACTAATTCTGTTGACGAGTTTTTATTTTTTTAAGCGAAAACCGTGCGCATCGGATTGAAAAAATAAAGGGACCAAACATGCTTATAAATGATTGGGGATTTCAATAATAATTTTTATTTTCAGAGAAATCAGTGGCGTACCATCCATGTCTGCCAAAATGGGCATGTGGCATTCTGTACGAACGCCACTTGTATGAAAATTAAAAAAATGCGGTAGGTACGTTAAAAAATGCCTCTGGATACATTACCTAGGTACATGTCAAATTTCATTAAAATATCTAAAGTGGTGTTACAGATATTAATAATATCGAAATCGAGATCTAAATGATTTATTTTTGAAAACTTTACCACCCTGAATTGAGTTAGGTAGATACTTGAGCCACTTGAGGACTGTATGAATATTATTCCAAATAACATAAATTATTACTTTCATTTGTGCGAGTAGGTAATTTCAGCTCTTGTTTTCAACAAACTATAGTGAGTTGGTGTTCAATCTTAGGTACCTGTAGGTAATGGTACCTATCTGTACCTATAGAAACATTTTAATTTTAATATAATTCATTGAGATATACAGATACACCCCTGGAACATATAATATAAACGTATAGGATCGAGCTCTGTAGAAACTTATAGCGCTATACCCACTTTGTTCAATTAATCGACCAATTCTACAACAACTGTCAGAAACTGTTTATAGGTGTAGGTAATAGTTACCATTCTTAAATAGTTACCCACCCAAATAGTGTAAGGGCAGTATCTGTGACGTTAAATTATACGTTACCTTAACATTGATTTTTCGTAGTGATGCTCCTTAGGTAAGTATTAAACAATTCAAACTGTTGATGCGATTGTAAAAATTCTATCTTTCTACAAGATTATTGTGTTTCTAAAATTGAATTAGGTACACAATTTTATTTCAGGATTTACTACAAAAACGTCAGGGGTGCCAATGAGAATTTCACCATAACAGAATTTTATCAATCAATTCTGGAAATTTGAAAAGTAATATAAGTTTAATTCATATCGATAGGTACCCTTTGTTTTAAATCTGACATTCGAGTTAATAAAAAATGAGAAATTGCATGAAATAAAGTCGCCATTTCTTTTGATTTGTGAAGTGTTTTATGATTAAAATTCGTCTCCTATTTATAGCGTTGCTTTATGGGACTGTCCCTCGTAGGAGCGTTACTGTTTAAATACTCACAGGCATATTATTATAGGTATTGATAAAAGATAGTCCTTTCCACAATTCTGCCACTGGCGTAGGTAAAGCCCCTCTTCAAAAGGAGGAGTTTAGAATGAACCTTGCGCTTTTATGTGCGCACGGTTAGCAGCCTTGTACGGTCTGCCGTACTGCGCGGTTGCAAGCGTGTGTGTGCCATGCGCGCGAAGTTCAATATGCAATATCTACATGTGCACCGTGTTTTGGTCTATTTGTTTATATAGATAATAATAAGTGTCAAAATTTGTGTGCGGAAGCTTCCCGTTCAAAAGTCTCCACTTAGTGAATCTGTCCAAAGGACGACCTTTAGGTACCTATTTGCAAGACTGTTACGCAAAATTTCAATCGGGACCAGTACTCAAAAAGTGATTGTAGCACTCAGTAAACAAGAGGTGCTTAGTTAAGCTTAAAATAAGTGCATGAACTTTGAATACTGAACTTTTCCAGTGAACTGTAACAGTGATAGTGCGTGCCAAGAAAAAAGAAAAGATTAAAAAAGTAACAATCACTTACAAAATAGAAAAGAGAAAAACCTGACACTGTTTGTGTTTAAGAGATTTGTGTTGTGCTACCGTCGGCCGGCCGCCTTAAAATTAAATAGGTCCGGCGATTTCTTGTGGTGATTTTTACTGCAGATGGGAGTGTTCCAAGAAGCGAACACTCGCACGCCCGGGATGCATTGGGTAAGTCAAAAATATTTCGAGTAATAAAATTTAACAATAAAAGTCAACGTATCACGACCAAAATTGGAGAAACGTGAGAAGCGCGCGGCGCGCCGTTTTAAATTTATGGCGCTCATTCTTACGTTTTCGTGAATTCTTCTTGTAGCGCGCGTTCATATATGTGAGTCATTATACAATATCAAATTAAGAGGACCTTCCCACACATCAACATCTCAATTATTCCAACCGTGGAATTCGAGAAAAATTGATGCCATTACCGCATCTCTCAAGCAAGCGCTCCCTAATCAGTCCATATTACTACGACGGCACCACAAATGCGTGCCTGCGTGTAAAGAAAACTATAATCCTCTACAAACACAAACAAATCGCCTTCGGCAATCTCGATTAACACATACTTTACACATCACCTTCTGACAGCCACAAAAAATGAAATTATAATCCAAATTCGTGTGTTAAATTAGATTAATTACAAACGGCAGCAATCGATACGATAATTATAGTGAATTAAATATTCGACTACGGCCATAATTACAATAATTACCGGGCCGTAATTAATGTTTAAAAAAATATCCGGCACTAGAAAACCAATTTTTTCTCCCTTCGGCTTCTGTTTTTCTAACGCTGCGCCTTTAATTAAAAATTAAATCGTCAATGACGGCGAAAAGCTTCTAAAGGAAGTTTACCATTAAATAAATTCCAGTTTTTCTAGATTTTGTACACATTGTTACACGATTTAGGTTTTTGCGTAAGGAAAAAATTACGGAAATTAGGTGTATACCGGCGGTGGTCTAACGGGAATTTGACAATTTAAGTCTTTCTCGTTCTAATTGAGTCCTAATAATTTCGGTTATTTTCGGAGTTTTTTTTATTAAAGTTCAATTTTTGAGATTTTTGCTTACCCTGTATAGTACCTATCTTCCCATATTTTTGTTTGTTTGAGGTTTTTACTTGAATATCTCAGAAATACGGTACTCTTTCATTTAGCTATACATTAGCTAGTTTCCCTTCAAAGTTCGATCTAAAAAGCCCTCAATACATTGCGCTTCAACTGTGTCTTTTTGTGCAAAATTGTGCCTAACATTCCGCAATTTGTGCGTCACTGCTGAGACACAGAAAGTTATCGCAATACGAGAACGAAGGGTTTCAATCGCGATCCAAGCTCATGGCTTGAATTGTGCTAGTTTTCCGATTCGCAAGAAATCCTAGCTCCCTCTCCCCTAATTTTAAGTGGTTTTGAGTGAATAATTTTGAACTTGTCAAGTCGGTATTAAGTAATGAAGAAAAACAAAATGTTTACTCCCTGATGTTCAATTGTGTAAATACCTATACCTACCTTATATTTACACAATTGAACATCACAGGGAATAAAAATTTTGTTTTGCCATCGCATTTTAAATCAAATTTAAGGGAGACTATACCTAAGTTCAGCAGTCCTCCAGAGATATATCTTCAGTTTTGCTTTTATTTCGCGGAATTTCATTTTTTATTGATTTTCTGGATTTATTCAAAATCCCCTATCATAAAGATTTTGAGATTTTGCAAATTTATTTTTAAAAATGTAGCTTGTAATCTGCAGACTTTGGCTAAGAGCTCGTATAGAGGAACGCTTGTAAAAAGACGAGGAGTGTACATGTACCTATCGGGCTCGTATAGTTAACAACTTTAGGGACGGGGCTACAATATCTGGGGTCGGCGACATCTGGGCGCCATCCCCGAGCGTAAACTTGGAGATTTTTTAGTTTTTTTCTATCTTCTTCTACAGTTTTTCTCCGATTGTTTTCAAATAGGTCTCGTCGGAAAGACGCGCACAACTCCTGCGTGGCGGAATTTTTTTTTCCTAGCGGCGAAATGAAACCACCTTTTGCACGGCGCGCTTCGAGGGGTAGTCGACTTTGGGGGCCCAAAAGTTTCTTAAATCTCGAATCGCGGTTTCCGTTTCTCATGTCGCCAATAGAAGCTCGAGCTATGGGTAGTACCCAAAAATTGAGAAGGTACTATTTTATGCCGGGTTTTTACCGACATCCACCAATATGCGAATTGCGAGTGAACGGGACGTCGGAACTGTATACCGACAATGAGAATGTGTTAACCCCCGATAATGTCTTGCTGATGGTGGAGTTAAAACATCAAACTCTAATTGCGAGTGAACGGGACGTAGGAGGTGGGTACCGACAAAGGGAATATTGTAACCCCCGACGAGATCTTACTGATAGTGGAGTCAAACGCGAATTGCGGGTACACGCGGAAGTGGTAGGCGGGTACCGACAAAGTGAATGTGATAGCCTTCGACAAGATTTTATTGATGATGAAGTCAATACTGGCTAATAAAACACTGATCTGCCATACAAAAATGCGCTGAAGTCCCTTTAATCTCACACGAGGACTTTGATAATTTTTTATAATTTATTTTAAAAATGTGTACCTATACTAGCTATAATGATAGGTTTTCATTTCATAACTTAGACCATTGGCCACAACAAAATTTTTGAACTCAAAAAAGTAGTACTTACCGGGTGAGTTTTTTCCAGTGTATGCGGACCTAGTAAAATAATGGAGGTGGAAACACTTTTGATATTTTTCTTGGTGTTTTATTGTAGAATTCAGGGAATTTTAAGAGTAACAGTAATTATGCCCTTTGAGATGTGCATATACAGTGTCACCGAATTTTTCATATGTAATTTTTGAGTAAAAAGTTCCTTTATATCATTGATGATCGCGTGCTATGGTTCTCTTTTTCAGTAAAAAATTATGACTTTTTCCTTTCTTTATGATTCAATTACGAGGACATACCTACCAATATTGTCAGATGACCAGACCACTTTGGGAAAATGTTCTATAGACACACTACATTTACATTATTTACTGTAGGTATTTTGCCACAATTGTACTCGACATTTACTATCTTTACTGTCATTTATCTCATTTTCTTACTCGGAGTATACGAAAACCGAGACAAAGAACTAAATATCGTGCCTTGTCCTGTCTTTTGGATCTCTATGGACGGAACAACACTCTCAGACTAATGTAGATTTAGTAGGTAAGTACTTAAGTTACTAAAAATATACTTACCTAGGCTCCGATTGAGGAAGTTAAAATAAATTACAACCTCTACATTAGTTAGGTTCAATACATAGTCGTAAAATATGACTTGTCATACAGAAGTACCTAGTTCACTAGACATAATTGTGGAGTTTTTCTTCGTGTATAGGTATAGGTACTTTCAAGTTCTTAATTGTGTCTTTATGTACCGGGTGAATATTTTAAAACCGAACATAGGTAATTAATATGGGATAAACGGTTTTTGCAGATCGTTGCCCTGGTTACTCCCCATGTTAACTTAGAGGGTTTATAACTTAGACCATACAGTACATGGACTGCTAATTGTAACTAAAATATGGTCAAGGACATCGCCTAGGTATGTGAGTTTCAGGGTAAACGAGTCTGTCCGAAGTTGTCCGATTAGACACGATTTGAGACTGTCAACCTATAAATTAACAAACGTCAATTAATTAATCGCGTAGATATGGCAAAAAAAGCAAACCTATTCTTATTTGTGGACGTATAGAAGATAATAAAGAGTATTTAAAGCTTCCCGTACCACGCGGTTACTATAAATCTGCTCTTCATGCGATCCGAGTGGTGTTCATACGACTTTAGTTTACCCTGAGATTCACATACCCACGACTACAGTGCCCTCTATCCGTGACCACCCATTTTGTATTGAAAGCATAGGGCGAATAGCAGTCCATGTACTATATGGTCTAAGGTTTATAATGACACCAAACGAAAGATGATTTTTTTTCTCATCTTGTGATATACGAATTAGTTCATTTTCTGATGCATTTTTCATTATTATTATCGAAAGTTCGGCAATAAATCGAATTAGCAAAATCATGTTAAGCCATGGAAATTTCCTAAAGAATTGAAATAGGCGAGGAAATAGGTTTTCACACAGACGGAATGGGACGCTTTTTAAAATGCACGGAAATCAAATATCGCGTACTAGAGTAAATATTTCCGCTGTAAACGTTGTTTATTATAAATACTTTTTCCTCAGTGAACCGCATTTTACAAAAAAATTAATGCCAGGCGTCATAAACTGATATTGATTTCGACGCTTGAAGCTGCTTTTGGTCTTAACATGATTTTGGTAAGTGGATTTATTGCCGAATTTTTGATAAAATAGTGAGAAAATACACCTGAAAATGAACTAATTCGTATATCATCAGACGAGGAAAAAAATCTTCTTTCGATTGGTGTCATTACTAACCCTCTAAGTTATCATGGGGAGCAACGATCTGCAAAAAACGTTTTTCCCATGTTAATTCCCTATGTTCAGTTTGGGAATATTCACGATTCACCCGGTATAGACATCCCATGTTATTGTAGATCATTTTGGCCTCGATTTTGGTATATACAACTGTTACCTATAACTTTCCCGCCAAAAATTGTGTCTTCGTCTTCTTGGTTGGCCGAGAGCCGTTATGAACCCATTGCATGGACTAATAAGAGGATCCTTGTGGTGAATCCAGTTCGCATCCCCAGCTACAATTGTATAGAAAAAGTCTTCATTTTGAAATTATCTTCGAAGATTTATCGTCTACACGGTTGGGAATCCATCGGGACTCTGATCGTGACACTTTCCTCACACTTTGCACTTCCATAAGGTCTTCCACAGCTGTGGACGAGGCCGTGGATCATCATGAATTAGTCCACTGCTTGCACTACCAGTTTATTTTCTCTACACACTTCCACCTTTCTTTCATGGATATATTCTTTAGGTCATTCCGAGGGACATTCCCTTCTTATAATAAAAATTTCATAATGCTAATTTGTTATGTTTAATATCACATATTTTTGCCTTTCTAAACCGAGTTTTAAACATACTATAAAGTTGGCAAATGTTAAGCGAATGCAATCAAACTTATACAGATGACACTATAAAATGAGAAACTTGACATGAGAAAATTGTCGTAATAGGCTTGGTTTCATCGCTAGGT